CAATGCAAGTGTGATTCATGTGCTGGTAATTCCTGTGGAAGTAGCCAGGTCTGTCAGGTGAACTGGACAAGAATTCTTGATGTATATTAGAGAAAGGCTTCTTGGTTGATTATTTTAGTCTGAAGGTCTGAAGGGTGATGACACTGAAGTAACCAAGGAACTAGGTTTTCTTAGCAGTGTTCATAAAGAAACAGGAAAAGAAAGAGCCATAATCTTCATCTTCTGTATTCCTGTAAAAGAGAAAGACTTTTCAGATCCTAAATACCCAAGCATGTGTTTGTACAAAGGCAATATGGAAAAGGTTCCTTATTAAAGCCCCAGAAGCCACCCAGTAGAGCTTCAGGTGTGGACCAGCCCACCCTAGATGGGAAGGGTCAGACCTACTGGGACATATACAGCTGCAGTCTCATGGATTAAATGACAGCTTGAATTAAACATTGGTTGGAATGCAGTAGGCAGATGACAGGTGTCCAGATTTCTGGTGATAATTAGTGTCCTGATATGTACAAGAATGACAAGTGAGGGTCAGGAGAAGCTCTTGTTCTCTTCCAGTTTGTGAGCAAACCAGACAGTGTGTCCCCCTTCTCTGATTACTGTCAAAGGGAGAGGTTTTTCTCTGTCTTTCTAATCAGGAAGTTTTGTCTTAATTTATTCTTACTCTTTGCATAACAGGCATTCATGATGCGTTTGGAAAAAGTATTATTTTCTATTAGGTGCAAATGTCTCTAATCCTGCCCATCCCTAAGTCAAACAGAAATGGCTGGCCTTACTTGGGGTTTTCTGCTAACCCAGCTAACCGAGCAACTAAGGCCCAACATGAAAGGTGAACTAGTAGCTTGTGGAAAAAAACATACAGCACAAAAGAATCAAAGGTGGAAAATAAGCTTCTTGCTTATTCCTACCCCCTGTATTTTATAAGTATTTTATAAGTGCCCCATATTTCAAGACATTTTTACTTCTGTTTATTGGCTCACATACAAAAGCTAGGCAAAACCTGAATAATTTACCACCTGTCTGTTTAGTCCAAAGACTAAACCCACTAGCCATTGAACTGACTGGCTAAAAAATAGGGTTCAAGCAGTGTAAATATCTGTAACTCCACTGTTATCTCTCTACCAGTGTTTTTTAAAAAGTCATGCAATATCTGTGCCGTAATCGAGAATATGCTAATGTCAAAAAAAATCTTCCCTCCCTCCTACAGTTCCAGTGTCAACATTGCAGAATTACTGCAGCATCCTTCAGGTAGTGTTAAAAAAGCTTCTTAACTATAGTGGGTAGGAAAAATTACTGAGTGAACCCCACTTATTCCTCCAGTGTCTGGGCACTAAGCTCTCACAGCCTGCACCACCCTCACCGTGACCCTGGTCCAAGGGATGAGGCTGTTGCACTGCAGAGGCTGTGATGGAGCCTCACTGGGGGACTGTCCAGCCTTTGCCCCTGCTCCAAGCCAGTATGTCACACTCTTTGCAACACAAGACTCAACTCCCCAGGTTTTAAGCTCTTCTTGATAGTGCTAATCTTTCATTAAATTCAATAGGCACAAAAAACCCATAGCTGATCTCAGAGGAGAGCCCTCAGCTCCTGCAGCTCCTAAGAGCAGTCAGGGAAGTCCACCAAATCAAATTAGGAATTATTCCCTTCAACTTTCTTGTGTAACAGGGCTCTTGAGCATCCAGCAAGGGATTTGTTTGCCATATAAACACAATTGCTCTTTCTTTCTGATGAATGATTCAACTTTTCAGCTGCGAATGCTCAGCTGTAAAGTTCCTATAAATCCCCTTACAGTCTGTGGCCAATTGATCTGCAAAGACAAATCCAGAGACCCAGGATCACCTGCAGCAGAACCATCAGCAGACACCATGTGAATTATGTCTGTCCCTCTGACAAGCTCCAAAGTTAAGGACACAGGCATGTGGTCTTTTAATGTTGGTCATCAGAAGATACTACTGGATTATCCATGCTGGATGTCGTAATTAGCGCATTAGTCTCAAAAGACTTATAAAATGAAAATGCTGAAAGCTATTGGTAGTAAAGATTTAGTGTCATGTTTAAGAACAGCACCTAGGGCTTTTTTAAGCTGTGAGAACTTCCTGAAATAAAATTCCCTTGTTTATATGATTATTTATTGTGCATAGTGCTGTTGGCTTTGACAGTGAAAATGTGTTTGTCAGATAAACTTTTATTTTAATCAGTTTTTGGCTATTTTCATTCTGTGAGTTTGATGCATTTGCCTAAAGTCCATGGCCTGTAATTTCCAAGTACAATTAGGATTCATCACTAGGAATGCTTGAATCTTAACTTGCCTAGAATGTTTCATGGGCCTTAGGTTTTCCACCTAAGTTTTCTACCGTATTTGATCTGGCACGTTCCTTTAATCTGTGTAACCAGTATCATACACTGGCATCCCACATAAGTAAGAGATCTGACCCTGTAAGGTGACTGGCTTTGCACTAAAAATCTTCTGTCATTGGGAGCCAAGAGTGTTCAGCTGCCCTCCAGACTTCATATTTCTTTACCATGATCGAAACTAAGGCCACTTGCTGGCTGTCCTTCCACTGACTTTAAAGATCTTGGGTCAGGATGACAACGGGAACGGAGAGAGTTGAGAATGGGACTGAGTGTACAACTGACTGCCCAGAGATCAAAGAGAGTTCATTTTGGGTTGTTTGTAATGCATCGTTTGACTTGATGTGGAAAAAGAGGCTTTTAACCTGAGCATTACTGATTGTACATGGGGAGCAGTTTGCCCATCAAAATATTGAGGGATCCTGAAACTGGATTAACGTAAAGTTCACAGGAGGTGGTAAGGGATGCCCCAAGTGAGTAAGAACCCCTGACTCTTGACAGTCTAGATGACATAAGAATGAGCCACTGTTTAAACTGAACTCAGAGCCTTCATTTTCAAACCTGTTCCATTGCATCTGCTGCTTCTAAGGGTGTGTAATGCAGAAGTTGTTGACAGATATGACTGCTTAAACCTTGACTCTAATTCATGAGTAATGCTTGGCAGTGCAATAAAAAAATGTTTGTTGAAGTTTCCAGGCAGCACCAATACACAAGCGTTTCCCTTAAAATACGGATGTGTCAGTGGAAGGGTTGGCACTCTTTTTTTAGTACTAGGGACATATCCTACACAAAGAGTGATGCTCTTGTTTTTAGGTTTTATGAAATACACCTCCTTTTGTAAACAGACTAACAGCTCCATCTTTCTGGAAATGTGTCATTCCTGAGTTGATCCACATTGCTGGGACACCAACTTTGAGGGATTTTTTTATTCAGCAGGCTGCTTTGGCTCTCAATGACATTAAGAGGTTAGGGATGATGTAGCAGGTGTAGTGCTGGAGAGGAAAATTAGTTTCCCTTGAGTGTTGGTCTCAGAGAGTAAGGTGTGCTGTACTTGTACATTGCTAGAAAGGTGTTGGGAATCTACACATCTCTTACACATTGTCATAGCTTGGCAAAACTCAGTGGCAAAGAAGCTGACTTCCCAGTAAAACATTCCTTTCTCTTGTGGGCCCAGAGATTTTGGAAAGTATGCAGTGCATTGAGGATGTGAATTTTTATGTGAATTACTTGCTCTGATTTCAAGTTATTATTAAGCCTTTCCAGTGAAATTGCAAACAAAACCATGTCTCTGGGGGATGGGGAATAGACATTGCTGCACATTGTAATCAGCCTCTCTTGAAGATTCATTTAATATCTTGTATATTTTTTTATGAAATACATTATTCATGTAACAAGATTCACAGAGAGAAGCAGCTGAATTGTAATTTCTGGGAAGATTCTTCTTCCAAGAGATCTAATTTTCATTATTTAAATCAACGCGATAGGTCTTGCCTGCATGAGGGAGGCATGAAGTGAAGGGAACAGCCTGTAGATGGGGCACTGAGCAAGTCAGTTACTGCCTCCGCAGAGAAATAAAACAGGCCGTCCAGTAATTTAAGTCCCCTTTGGGTCAGTATGTAGCCCTTTGAAACATCATTACACTTTGTAGGGTTTTTTTTCTCTGTGTTAGAAGCACTTAAGAAAACAGTAATGAACTAACACTTACACAGTGGAAAAGTTTCCTCTCATAAAAATACTTCTTGCAAGCTGCTTTCCCCACTGCTGTTTTCTGGAGTGCTCCCTCAGTTCTCCATTGAGTTCATCTGCCTAAGCATGTGAGACGGTACTGCTTTTCGTTTCAGGGCCTACAGTAAAAGTTCCACATGTTTATATTGCAGTTCTCTCTTATTTACCTAGCCTTACGTAAACCCCTGTAGTTACAGGCTCAGCCTCTGTTATATTTAAGACCTTGCTCCACCAGTGGTCCCACTGAGATCAGTTGGGCTGTTCAGAAATAAAAAACCACAAATACCACCTGTAGAGTTTAAGTTCAACTTAATAACATTGCAGTGATCCATATTGTAAGGTCTCAAGCAATACTAGGTGCTGTGCATCTCTTGCAGCACTGCTGATTTCAAAGTTATTTCTTGAAGTTAGTATTTAGGAATTTAATTAGTGCATATAATGATTTAATTATGTTAATGAAATAAAAAATAGGATGTTACAGTGGAATTTGAGATGCTCCATCAGGAAAGTGATTCTCCTTATTTTGATTGTCCCCCACTGTCTCCATGTAGCCATCTGATGGGCATGTGTCCCCTTTTGTCTTCCTCTCACACTCCTCTTCCCATAGAGGATTGGAAGCTTCCCAAATCCCATCTCTCAGGCCTTTAAACAAGCAGGTGGCAGCAGAGCTTGCTGGTGTCAGTGAGAGCCAAAAGTGATCCCCTGGCATATGTTGCCATGCAGGAGGCATGCACATCCATCTGCTGGTGCAGATGGGCTCCTGGTGTCCCTGGGCAGTGGTCTGGTACCACTGTGACAAACCCAAAAGTAAAAGGAGCCTGAAAGGGAGCCTGAAGTGTGCCCAGTGCATTTTGACACACTGAAGCTACCCGGCAGTGGGTTGCTAACATTAATGTCTTTCTCCTTTTCTCTTTGTCTGTTTGCCCAAGTTTGTCCACTACCTCCAATGGTGAGTCATGGAGACTACATCTGCCACCCGCGGCCTTGCGAGCATTACAACCACGGGACAGTGGTGGAGTTTTACTGTGATCCTGGTTACACCCTCACCAATGACTACAAGTACATCACTTGCCAGTATGGAGAATGGTTCCCCTCCTACCAAGTATACTGTGTCAAAACAGGTAAGGGAGCAGCAATGCTGCTTTATAGTCCTATCTTCTTATAGTCCTGCTTTTAGAGCAAATTTGTAAGACTGAAATGCCTGGTGAATTTCATCTGTTTCATGGTTAAGTTATTAATAATGATTTTAAGATTCTGTTCAATATAATACATTTCAAGATCCTGAACAATCCTAAACCATTTTGGTTGCTACCTCTTCAAATATATTTTTTAACATCTGGATATTTTTATGTGTATGTAAGCTAAGGTCACGATTGCATCTATAAAAAAGCAGTGAAGGGGAAAAAGCAAGGTCCAGCCTCTGTGACAGCTTAATGTTAATCTTCCTTTTGGTATATGGTGTTGGGTTTATGTGTGTTTTTACAACACACATAGAAAAAATGTCATATTCTAACTGGCACTTCTGAGTATTGTTGAAGTATTCATACAAAATAACAGTAATAATCAAACACAACTCTTGTATTGTCTTTCTGTTACAGATCAAACCTGGCCAAATACACAGGAAACCCTCCTGACTACATGGAAAATAGTGGCGTTTACTGCTACCAGTGTTTTATTAGTACTGCTACTGGTTATTTTAGCCAGGATGTTCCAGACCAAATTTAAGACACATTTCCTTCCACGGTTTGTACTGTTTTCTTTTTTAATTTGAAGATTGAGGGCCTTGATTCAGTTTTCACATTCAGCACTCCTTGCTGAAGAGATGGAGCAGCTCATGAGCCTTGCAGATACTTTCTTCTGCTCTGAGCAGAAGTCTCTGAACCAGCAGTGTGGAAGGGTACCCCCAAAACCCCACAAGTAGTTCTTTCTGCAAATAAGATAAAAGGCAAAGTTTGCCGGATTCACTCTGGGTGTAGTTACAGCTCTCCTACTGAGATCTGCTGCTTCCTCATGTAAAAACAGCTGACAATATTTTAAAACACTCATTTTCAGGTGCTGGGGAAATTAATTTTGTAACTACTGTAGACTTAGTAATGTAAGCTTTAAGAAAAGATTTCTTTTTTTCTCTATGGACAAATTTATATTAAAGGTTTGCTTAACCTTCATTAGTAGTATTTTCATCATGATTCATACACATCTCCTGCATCTTCCTTTATTTCCACAACATACCATGCAGCTATGAGCATTTGTCATTGATTCACATAGAGAACATATATACTATGAGATAGGGAAGTGGGTATTATAGTCTTTGGAAAAACAAAGGCAGACATGCTGAGTTTCAGGAAAAGCTAGTACTGTATTGGGGTTTAGACTTGTTTCTTGTTTCCTGTCTGCTCAGTTTGCTATGGACCTTGACTGTGTGACTTCTCTACTCCTGCACTTGCTTTTTCTCATGTCTTTATTCTACCACAGGCAGAAAGGAGAGGTGAAAAAGTTGTATGGCAGTATATATGCCCCCATGCCAATACAGCAGAAAGTACTTTATGATCTTAATGTTAACTATATGTGTGCATAAAAGTATACAGATTGTATAAGCAATGTGTAAATTTATATACATATATATGTTCATATATACACTCTATGGAAAGTAGTATACAAATAAATATATTGATACCACCAGGAAGATCTTTGGGGTAATGGGTTCCACTACAGATAGGTCCATAGCTTATTGAAATGGCTTTCTGTCCTCTCCTTTTAGATGTTTTCATCTCTTAAAGGTACCTGGAATCAATTCCCTCCTGCCAGGACTATACTGTGATTTAATTGGCTACTAAACATTTACTTTAGGGTTTAACAGACCTTCCCAACTAATAGAAATGTTTTACTTAAAAGAGAAAACAGCTTAATATTGGTTAAGGAAGTCCCCATCCTTTGAAAGGAAGACCTGAAGGAGGCCACAAATCCGGCCACCAAAGCCCTGTCACCCAGTAGTACTCAGTGCCTCTTTACGTGGGCTGTAAACACATTTGTGCTCTAGCATACATCTTTCCAGGGGTTCAGACGCTTTTAACTTGTGAACTACATCTGTGACCTTACATCCATGACACCACTGTGCACAGCACAGCAAACGGTGCTCCTTTTCTCTTCCAAACACCTGTTTTCCTTTCCTTCTTGAAATTGTTCTTAACATTACTAGTTTCATTTTTCTGATTGTAACAGATGTCACCTGACTGTCAACCCAAACAGAGTTTTGCAAACCTGTGCAGCAAACATTTCTGTGAATGTTAATGACCCTGTTAATGACCCCTTCATTTTGCATGACTAGAAAGTGCTGTATTTACTTAAGTTCAGCAGTTGCTCAAGATGCTTCTGACATGCTCCTGCTCTCTGTGATAACTCATCTGTGTTTGACATAGAGGCAACCAGGAGGGCTCCATGGGTGACCCCGACTTTGTGGTGGTGGATGGCATCCCTGTCATGCTGCCTTCCTACGATGAAGCTGTAAGCAGCGGCTTAAATGCTCTGGCACCCGGATACTCAGCTACCGCAGATCAGGGGCATATTTTGCAGGCAGAAGATCAGAATCCTCCTGCTTACCCTGGCCCCAGGATTACAGACACGCAGCCTAGTGAATGTGAGGCCTGTGACAGCAGGTCGGGTTCCTCTGAACTGCTCCAAAGTTTGTACCCATCCCTGACATGCCAAGCAGCAGTGCTTCCCGGTTCAGAACGAACTGACATATCCTATAGCACTGCTGGGGAGGCTACAGCCACGAGTCTGCGGATCGATATTGCAGATGGTGAGTCTTGCATAGGTGCAATAGGTGAGTCTGTAAACAGGATCCATCCTTCGTACTGTCAGAGC